CGTAGCTTTTATTTAAGGAAAGAATAGAGAATATTATTTTGTACACTACTAATTAAATATGATAGTTAGTTTAATAATATATAACATATGTTTAGTTGGACCAACATATTTTTCTAAGAGTTCCGAAAATCAATCTCATTATAAGACGTGTCTACAAAAAATGTTTTAATGCTTCAGAATTAATATATAGGGAATATAATTTAGATGCAAGTTTACTCTAATTTATTGTTATTTCTTTTCTAAAATAAAAATTATCAGTTATTCTTCTATGTTTAGATTAAGAAATAGCAATCTCAATTGTTATCCTATATTTAAAGCAGTGTTATTATAAGGAAATACATTGGACCAAATTTCATTTGTATTATTATTTTTTTATTTTAGCGTAAGATATCAAAATGTATCAGAAATGGTATAACGTGCTAGTGGTCTGGTGGTTTGTAGGGGAAACAAACACATTACTAACATAATATATATTACATCTTCTGAGAAACTTCATTACTGATTTTACAAACGAACTTTAAAAATACATCTCTATCTTGCAAACTTGAAGGTAATTTATAAACAAAAGCTCTCTGAAAATAAAAAAAGATGAGACTAATGGAACTTTACAACGATACAAGAGATGTCATCTTTGCTCTTCTTAGATATAGCTACCTCTATCAAATGCTTTGCTGCTGCTTGTGGATCTTTAACACTCTTGATCACATCCACCGCTTCTTGGTTCGACATTACCTGCACTTAAAACATCCACCATGTAAGAAAGAAACTTGGAAATACAACATCAAAGCACAAGATGATACCAAAGTCACTAAACTTGCCTTCCAGATACCATCGCTAGCGAAAACAATGAACTCAGTATGCTCATCAATTGTCTGGTGCGTGATATCAGGCTCTGAGCTCAAATGTATCTTTAAGCTCTTATCACCAAACGCTCTAGCTACCGCTAACTGTCCATCTACGCGTGGAACATCCCCTGGAATGTTTGATACAAAGCCACCTCGCTTCTCTATATCTTTCCTCTCCTTGCTTGGCTCATGATCAACAGAGAGCTGATGAGCAACGCCGTTCTTAGACATCACTGCTCTGGAGTCTCCAACATTAGCAACCACTAGCCTTTGACCATCTATTAGAATCCCTGTTACAGCAGTTGACCCGCCTTTACCGAGCTTAAGAGACTGCTGAAGTATCACTGCATCTGTTGATCTGTAAGCATTTCTTATAGCATTCTCCGTATCAATCCAAAAATCCTTCTGAGGATAAACAAAAGTAACACAAGAATGGATCAACAGTCAGTATAATTCAAAAAGGATTCGCAATGTTCAAGAAATCGTGAGGCACTAATTAGCCGCTTTACAAGAGATTATTGTTTAGCCGGATGTCTAGATCAACTTTTTGAATGCCTAACCCGATTTTTTAGAAAATTGTTTTGTTTAAACCCGATTTGCCGACTAGACACCCGACGCCTAGACCGGTTTTTAGAACACTGCTACTTCTTTTAGCATCAGCAGTAGCAGTCAGTATAATTCACCTTTTAGCAATGTTCAAGAAATCGCTAGGCAGTAATTAAACTTTTTATAAGAGATTATTACTTAGACGAACGCCTAGACGGACGCCTAGACCAATTTTTTAGAAAACCGTTCTGGAAAAATCATTTTGTTAAAACCGATTTGTTGCCGCCTAGACCAATTTTCAGAACACTGCTTTTAGCATCAAAATAAGATTTACTTACCTCTTTAAGAATGTTGTCAAAGAGATTAGTCTGCAAGTACTTGGCAACATCATGACCCAAGTGACCATCAAAGATGGCAAACAAACCAAGTTCATGGCCATCAACTTTCTTGAATTCAGACACTACATAGTCCTCCATGGGATGGCTTGACTTTCCCTTGACAAAGTGGAAACCGTGTGTGATGTTCTTCCACATCTTGCTTTTGCCTCTTCCCGTTTCAGGAGCCGATCCACAGAATCCTGCCTTTAAGTTAATAGTTCAAAGCAAAACAATAGAGTTAATACTTCAATTAAACAAAGATCAAAGATCACAGACACACTCCTTCACATCCAAGACCATAAAGCTCAGACCTTTAAACAGAGGACACTATCGTAAGCAAAACAGAGGATTCAAAAACTACAATCTTTGGACAGAAGCTTCATATAGGCTAACTTTAATCATATTTCTTCAGACCCATTAGTAGTAAAAGCAAAGAACTTATGAAAAAATTATATGGATCAGATAAAAATCATAACTTTACACATATAAGAGAAGCTGATTCCAAGTTCAGACAGTGAAGAACTAATCATGGCAAAACAACAAAAGGGTAACCGACATTAGAAACGATCAGAAGAAGTAGATCCCATCAAAGAAGAATCAAAGAGCCAATTAGTACCTTCATCTTATGGAGAATTTCTCTGCCTGCCATTCTAAGAAAAAAAACTTTAATCGCTTGTGAATGTGCGATGAAGCAAGTAAAACCAGAGAGAGAGAGAGAGATGGTTTATTTAGGACAGGAATGGTTTTTTTGACTTTGATGTAATAAATGAGAACTGCTGCCTGCGGGTGACAGTAACATAATCGGCTGCGTCGGCCAATGAACGCGTACTCTCCCACGACTTTTCTTCCTCTTTTTCTTTTTCTTTTGTCTTTTAGTTTTTTTTCTTTTTCAACTTTTTGGTCACTTTAGACCAAAATCCTCAAACTAAAGTAAGGAGTCAAACTCCAACACCAAGACTCGAAGACAGAGCTCAGTTACCACTTGACTACGAACAACCGGATCTTTTATCTTTTTAGTTAAAATAAAAAGTTATAGTCCCGTCACTTTAGCACTTGATTAAAAGTTTAATACTTTAGGTATTGTTGTGGATATTATTATTGTGATTGTATATAGAATTCGGTTATTTTATCCGTTAAATTTGATTTGATTTATTTTTCTTTCTGATTTGATCCAAAAATTACAGATATTTGTAAATTTTTGAAACAAAACAAATACTAAAATCATTATCCGTTAAAATCGAAACAAATCACAAATATTAAAATTTTGGAAAGTGGATATTCGCTTCGATCTGGCAATATATAAATGCATATATATCTTAATTATAATTAAAAAAAATTAATGTATAAATTATATAACTATTATTCTAACATATGGTTTTATAAATTATGTTCACATTATTACTTATAAAAAATATTACAATAAAAAGAAGAGAAAAAGATTATGATAATTATATTTTTTTCTTAAGTTTTGTGTTATTCTAATTGTTAATTAAGTTTAAAATTTACAAATATGTATTTTCATTACTTCTTTTAATTTTTATTTATATATGATGTAAAAAAATATTATTAAAAACAAATTTATAGTATATAATTTTAAAGATTATTTGTATTAATCAAACGGATGAGATATCCATAAGTATTCATAAATATCTGTAAATATCTATTTCTTGTTTGTGTATCCGTTTTTCCGGATATCCATATTTTTCTGAGGCAAAACAAATCAGAAAATTAGATATCTGAAACATACTAAACAAATCATAAATACTTTCAAAAATCCTTATATCCGATCTGTGGCCAATCCTAATTGTATACTCTCTATGTATTGTAGTTTGTTAAAGTCTAATTTGATATTACTATTTTTTAGATTTATCAAAAATCTTAAGTAAGCCATTAATTTACAACTATGTATAAATATATATTGTATATCAACTTGATCATATGTGTTATTTTTGTTTGTCAAAAGATGTCGTTTTCCTTATACATGTATGGCAGCCAAGTATACAATACTCTTTTTCATGACTCAGGTAGATATCAGGTTTATGGAAGAACTAAGACTAATTTCTAAAAACAAACGTATCTTTTGGATGAACCCTTTTTAAGGTTGTAAAATGAATCATAAGTAAAAAAATTATATCGTATATGGATGTCTAAAAGCAATGTATAATAGTTTCTCGTAACATGTTGACGTTACGTTCTAAATCTATCTCTTTACCATTCAACCATAAGGGACCAAACAAATATTACAATACTTATGTTTCATTTTTCTTATTCTACACGAATTCATCATGTCGGCTCATTCAATAGCTTCACTTTTGGAGTGTCGTCTTCGTTACTTCCAAGTCGTCGTCCTTTGGTGAAAGCCCTCCATTTTTTCGTAATCCTTACTTGGTTTGTTTCGTCAAGCAAATAATAATGGAATCATATGTAATACGTAATGTGATGAAAACTCAGATTGGTAACTTTTTCAAAACCCAAATTATATATCCAAAAGATTTTTGTTAAATTTTATCGTTAAGAGGATAATGATCTATGATCAATCACACACATTAACGAGAGGCCAAAGAGTTGGTGATATGTCTAATCAAGGTTTTCGTCATTTATATACAACCACACACATAAAAGTAATAATCAAAGATTAGTGGTCACTGGTCAGTTGTGATCGATCTTTCTTGATTAATTCATATCCTTTGTAAGTATAATGTGATTAATTCACAAATTTGAGCCATCATTTTCAACTCATATAGTTACTTGCCGAGATCAACTTTCTTGCTTAATAGATTCAGACATACATTATTCTTTTTATGTACATAATAATTGTTACTGTATCATAACAACAACTAAAAGTAGAAGCCAGCTGGTTAAATACACATTATATATAACCGCTTATAGAATTTAACATTTGCGTGATTTTGTAACACTAGTCACACTAATAACACTAATACATTAAGCAAGTTATATATCAAACACAGATAGCTATTACAAGTCTTCCTTTACCAAAAGAAAGTTGGAAACTTTAAGCTAAAAAAAAAAAAAAAAAAAAAAAAAAAAAGTCTTCCTTTACCAATATATATCCATATATTCTCGTAACTAGTTAACCTTTTCAGCATCGAGTTTCTTCATGTTTATAAACCTGTAAGGAAGAAAAATACTATAATATTAGTCCATTACACGTAGGAAAACTGTAGCAAATGACATTTTTAGGTTAAAAAAATTATGGAGAGGAGAATAGTAATTACTGAGAACAGTCCATTCCAACAGAGATAGGAAAGCTGAGCTTAAGAGAACAAAGGGGAGGAAGATTGCTGATGGCAGATGCCAGAAAAGGAAGATGATCTGCTCTTCCCATTATCTCTATGCATCCACATACTCTCTCTAGCTCTCCACTCCCCAGCTTATTCGTCCTCGATCCCTGCTTAATATATAACGTCAGATAACTAATAGCTAATGGTGAAAGATAGACCAGCCTTGAGATCTCGAGAACCATAAACAATTTAGTATTCCTTATGTTTCTGAATAAGTGTCACTTTGACATTTTTTTACAAAGATTAAGAAAGTAGTGGAAATATATATGTTATTAATTATACCTCTCTGACCAACGGTATTTAAGATAAATAATTTTTTTTATAAAATCAATGTAGTTTTTAATTAATTTTCAACTGAAAATAAATATAATTCGCACTGAAATTGTAAAATGATATTTTTGTAAAAAATAAAATGTTGAAATGACAGTTATTATGAAACAGAGGAGGTAATAGTTTAAAAATAAAATTCTAAAATAGTTTGGGAGTCTACGTGCATGTATATTAACTTTTAAATTTTGGTGGTCCAATGCCAATATTTCACTTGGTTGTGTTTATGACCGTTTCTAGACTGAAAAAAATAACAGTAAATGGAGATAGAGTAGTAACTGGGGTCTTGAACTTGACGACGTTGTTCAAGTGGGTCACGCCTCTGCAGCATTGCGGAGAAGGTTGCTGGAAGATTCCCTCGACGAAGCCCATGCACGGCATGAAACTTTCGAACACCTCTCTGCACTGCTCAATATGGTGAAGTTGAGAAACCGCCGTTTTTATCAAGGCCAAGAGTGTGACCAGGATTATAGCACGATGTATCTTCATTGGTATCTTTAACTGATTACACTATAGCGATTAAGGGAGATGATTCTTGTGTGATCAGTTGATCACAGGTCGATATATCTATATATAATGGTAGTAGTCAGTTAATTTATATTGTGAAGTTTATAATGCATGGTTAGTTTAATGAACACATGTAATTCTCATGACTCCCTCAAAATCGGATTAATTCTAGCCGAGTTCTCTTTTTAGCTATCTTTAATTTCTCAAAATTATATGTGTGTTTTCTTATGCATATCTATAAGCTAACTGCGCGTAATGCGGGAGATTTTATCGCATGCTATGAGTGATGTGTGTTTGTTGTCATACATGTGCTCATGTTACTGCCTATAATCTGATCTCAATACGTAGCGTATGGACTATGGAGAGTAGAACATTTGTCAGTTACATTCTTGCTTCTCAAGTAACATCCAATTTTGTAGGCCTAACTAACAGGTATAGTTTAATCTAATTAGCAAACCAAGATGTTGATTTATTTCCCACTGTCTATTCTTATTGTCATGTAGTGGGGAAATATTAATAAAGAAGTCTCTCACTGGATGTTGATGGCTATCTTTGTGTTTTAAGTTTCAAGATGTGGGACATAATGAATGATAAAGAGATCTCTCACTTTCATTAGCTATGGGATTTATCTTTTTTCATTGTCAGCAACTGTGAGATTTATCTTACTTGGAAATCCATGTTCATAGTTAATCAACATAGATACTACTAGCATATGACAAAAAGAAGTTAAAATCAAAAAGTAATCGATGGTATAAACTATTTATAAAATTCTTCAAGTTAGATTTTACTATAGCTAAAAAGAAGTAGAAAACATGAAAATTTATAATATAACAAATACTATAACAGATTGTAGTTATAAAACTTTTCAATTTTCATTTCCAAACTGAAATAGTCTCTATTACAAAGACTAGGCTTAACAACAAACGCATATCCGCTTAATAAAAAAATTATATTAATCTCCAGCAGGGCTAGTTGGGCTTTAAAAGTATATAATGTGTAAAGCCTTTCTTATGGAATACTTGATCCATTTAACTAGTCAACTAAAACTTGAATGTACAGAACTCCTTTTAGTTAATTTGTAAATTTTCTCTACAGGATTAATACTCACGTCCAGGATAAAATGAAAAATAAGACACCTTAAGTTTGAACAAAGATCGCTTTCAGTTTTAAATTAAATGACTAACAATTTAGAAGATCTGGCTTTCAAAATGGTTGTTGTGCTTTGTAAGGGAGTAAACAAAAAGTGTGAAAAGATGATATCAGTTAAGTCCGTTGCATGTCGAAACATGTGAAAAGAAGAGGAGCAAAATCGAAACGCTTCTAATTAATTTGCATATTCTCTAGAGAATGGCATGCAGCCAAAAGCTTCGCCCAACGTATATGACTTCTAATTTCACCATAAATACACAAGCACCAAGAACAACACACAGTTCAAAAGAGTTACTTGGGATTAGTTTAAGTTTTGGAGAGATGGGTCTGGTCATGAGGTTTGATGCTTACTTGATGATTGTGATATTAATGGGTTTGGAGTATGCAATAGGCTTATCAAATGGGTACAAGTTCAATGTTGGTGGGAGAGATGGTTGGATCCTTGCTTCTTCCGAGGACTATTCTCATTGGTCTCACAGAAACCGGTTTCAAGTCAATGACACTCTTTGTAAATGTCTCTCTTCTCTACCATTGTACGCATTATGTGTAATAATGTCATTATTATGCATGATAAAATGATAATATGAATTCGTGCAATTGCAAGATTTTAAGTACGCTAAAGGAAAAGATTCAGTGTTGGAGGTGAGTGAAGAAGAGTACAACACATGCAACACAACTAACCCCATAACCTCCCTAGGAGAATCTCTCTTTGTGCTTAGCCGCTCAGGTTCGTTCTTTTTCATTAGCGGCGACTCGGAAAAGTGTCTCAAAGGCCAGAAGCTAGCTGTCAAGGTCATGTCCACCATCCATCACAGTCACAGTCCTCGTCAGCCATCTCCCTCTCTCCTGTCCATCAGGCTTTGTTGTCTCCAGGGCCTTCTCCACAGGATTGGTTTTTTCTGATTCTGAAGCTCTTGCTCCGGTTCATGGACCGGTGAATGCTCGCAATTCTGCCGGTTTGGTTGGTTCTGGAATGGGTTCTCTAGGATTGGTTCTCGAGGTTATCATAAACTTAATGATTTAGTCTTTATTCCCTCGGTTTCAAAAAGATTAACATTCTAGAAAAAAATATGTGTTTCAAAAAAATGTATTTTTTACATTTTTAATGTATAATGTAATGAAAAAATTGTAGATTCCAAAAAAATTAATTGTGTTTTGTAAAATTTTATTGGTTAAAATATATAATAAATCATTATCTATGATCAATAATACATTGATAATCAAAATTTTATGTTTTTTCTTAATATGTATAAAAAACTAAAACATTTAACTTTTTATACAGATATAATATAAATTATAGTGGCAGGGGTATTAGTTCCTCTACAATTGAGTTGAGTTTAATATTAATGTGCCATTTTATTGTGTTTTGAACTTTGATTGTTTCTATGTTTTTCCTCTATCATGTTTTTCCATTAGTCAGGGTATTTAATTTTAAGTGAGCATATTGGTTTTGTGTTTAACTATTATCATGATAAAAGAAAATCTTTTTTTTTGAACGACAAAAGAAAATCTATTATCACCACCAGACTTGGTTGACCATTTATTTTTTCTTGATCAAGTAGACCATTTAATTTAGATGCAGGCTTTGGTGCTAGTGTATTCTTGATTCGAACCCAGTGAAGCCAATTTCTCCATTCGGTGGATTATTTGGGCCTACGGCTAACACACCTTCTGGTTAACCAGAAAAAAATCTAGTATCATTCTCCTACGTACATGTAGGGACGTTGTACTGTTGTACTATATAACATACTAGGGGTATTCCGGCGCTACGCGCCGGATTCGTATGTTTTAAAGCTATGTGTTTTATTTTAGATGAATTTACAATTCATTATATGGTTTTAGTAAAGAAAATATGTTCTAAAGTGAAAATATGTTGAAAGAAAATGATATTTTTTAATTTATACTACTTAAATTTATATATACAAATCTTTTTACGCAATCAACAATNACTAGGGGTATTCCGGCGCTACGCGCCGGATTCGTATGTTTTAAAGCTATGTGTTTTATTTTAGATGAATTTACAATTCATTATATGGTTTTAGTAAAGAAAATATGTTCTAAAGTGAAAATATGTTGAAAGAAAATGATATTTTTTAATTTATACTACTTAAATTTATATATACAAATCTTTTTACGCAATCAACAATCACTTTTTGTATTATGTAAGTATAAAATTTTGTTTGTAACTATCGTCGTTTAATTTGAAAATCTACTGTTGCTGTTTCTATTGCTCTTTGTGTGGGAGACAATTGCCTTCTAAAAATGTGAGATGTTATTGCATCAAGGAAGTCACAGAGATGATCTTATTGTGGGTAGGTGTTGAGTTTATAGGTCACTTAATGATTAATAGTGTCCGGTGTTTTTATGCATATTACAAAGTGCTACTTGTTTGACAAAGTGGACAAATACTCAGATAATATATTTGATTGGTTGAGAACATAAACGGGCTTGTTTATCCATTATTTGAAGATGTAAAGTTTTTTTTTTGATCAAATAAAGTTTTTTTATTTGAATATGTCAAGTTATTCGTACAGTAATAGTAGTAATCGCATATCTTAAGAAATTAGAAGAGTTTATAAAGTTTTGATAAAAATATATATAATTTTACAGCTTAACAGTAAGAATTTGATATGACGATGTTAATTAGTTATACGTAGAATGTTATCTGTTTATGTTTGTATGGACTGTCGTAATTTTTGAGACTGATCATTTAACTGATAACGTACGTTTATTCTAACGTACGTTTATTCTGTATTTATAGTTTTTGATTAATTTGCTTTAGATATTTCATTTCAACTAAAAGGAAGACATGTTTAGTAAATAACTTTCGTTAATAGCTAAAACACCCACCACTACATTGAAGTTAATATAAAATAGATAAAGTTGCTAAAGCTTTGTGCGATAAGAAAATAAAAGGCCGACACTAAAACATAAGAAAATGTAGTGGGGATTTGTGCTTCGACGTGGAGCTATGCCATGCGTGTCTTCTTTCCATTCTCATTTGGACCAACAACCTACTTGGTTGATGCTGGACGCCCACCTTCTGGCACAACAGATGAGGATGGTTGATGTTTGGCATTTGTATTCACTTCGAGTTCATCTGACGCCCATTTAGTAGCTCAACATCAGTTTTGTTGTCACCCGCAGAGACCTCATATATGCAACTGAATTCTCTCTAGGCATATCATCATTAGTACCATGGTCACCTCCCTGTTCAGAATCCAGTAATGCTCATGAATATTATTCTTTAGGAAAAAATATATAATAAGACAGTATGAGGTACCAACACTAATAACAAATTCTGGGAGAGGTGAATCCTGACGCTCAGAATTGATACTGGAAATAGTGAAGGTTTGGTGTTTGGAAGTAAAATTGAACTCTACTAACTTGAGTTGGAAGACGAAGGTCTTGCCAACAATATCAGCAATCAACTCTGGGAGTTTGTTGTTCACATGAGCATTGGCACCCACACCCTGCAAACCCGAGACACAATACTTTTAGAAAAAAACAAACACAAGAGGAAGAGTAATGCTAAATGGCTGAATATATGGCGTACCAAAATATGGGTAGATTCAGCAGCTTGAATGTTGGTTAACTTAGCCATCTCCATATCAAAAGCAACAAAGACAGCTTCATCCGTCTGGTCTGAAACAGAGCTCAGCTCGATACCTATAGACCTGGAATATAGGTTAAAAATATATTAGTGTAAAGGAATATATGGGAATAGAACACAATATTTGGATGAGCATGGCTATTAGAGTGTCATCTGAGAACACCTACAGCACAGCACTGATATTATCACATACGATGTATGTGAACGAAGAAATCTCTCTCTGAAGTTTTTTTAAACATTTTGAACAGCCTATATAACCACATCCTTTTTCTGTCTGGATATTGGTGCAGAGAAACTCAATTATCTGTCACCAGTAAGAGGACTACAACAATTAGAATCAACAATTTCAAGATTAAGTAATGATCTATGTAACTTTGACCTGAGGCTCATATGTGAGAACACATTGGTTAAGTTCGGATTAGAGGTTCTATTTTCTAGGCATGAAGCAGCTTTGATGAGGAGCCAGTCTGGTTTGGGACATCTCCAAATAACTTTAAGGAGAATTAATGAGGCAACACTGAAAACATAAGACGGAATCATATGCCAAAATATTTTATGTACAGTCGGTGCTGAATATCTAATATTAGTATTATAGTCACTTACTTTTCACAGTGTTCTTTTTTGACAGCTGTGTCTGAGACAAATTAGATGTGGGTTCCAGATGTTGCATTAAAAACGGCCTGCATAATGGGAAGTTAGTTAAGAGAATGCTATGTTTGTTTGTAAAACTCAATATATCAACCACATGGGAGAGAGGTTTTGTCTAACTGCAGAAGAGAAAAGGAATACTACGTTTACTCACCACCAACAACTTTGGGATTGATGCTAATGACCAACACAACTTTTGGTTCAGAACCATAGCTTTCAATTTGACCTTAAATGCAAAAGCTAGACCAGTCAAAAAGAGTTACTACATTCACATTCCTGTAAAGATTCAATAAAATTGCCATGACGAGGACGATAACATTCATAGCTGTAAAAGATAACAGCCATGGGAATTGTAAATGTAGCGAGTACCTTTCTATATGCAAAGTAGGCATAACACGTTGTGCTCCTGATTGCAAAAAGCTCACCAAGTATATCTTGCAATTTTAGAAGTGGTGATTGGTTAATATGGTTGAAAAATTCCAATTGGTAGAGAAGATATAGAAGATTAAAAGAATACCAGGTAACTGTCTGTTGGTATTTGCCAGTGCCGGTAGCTGATCGCAGGGAATTGAAATATTTCAGTTTGTGTTGACTTTATCGAATCTGTGATTTCCGAAAACGACGTACCTTCATTGAATCAAATGGAGACATGGGAATCAGAGAGTCGGAAGTTGTTTTGCTCCATGTAACATCAAAGCCACTTAGAGAATAAAAACAACAAATTAACATGATTTCAGAGTTGTAAGCTTTGTATTAATCATAGATAAGAAAAGATGATGGTTCGCGGACAATAACCAACAGCGCTCAAATTCGCAGATCCTAATGGACAAAAACGTAAAACAGATTTATGGGAAAGAGATCCTTACATTTTTCATCAACAAAGAGCATATCTACACTCATCAGTTCACAACATTTCTTGACATTCCTATCCTTCCAGAATCGCAGCAATCTAGCCTTGACATTGTTGGAGCACCGTCCTGCTTTCAGATCGGAAAGAAAGATGTGGGAATTGACCATTGTAATAAACGGAAAGTTGAACAGACTATTCTTATCCTCCTTGTTGAAGCTTTGATTTTCATTTCTCGAAACGGGCTTATTTATAGTCCTAGCTCTACTCAGTCCCTCTGGGAATGCAATGAGTCGGATTGAATGCAGTGGAGTGGGGTTAACACGTTTAAACAGGGAGTTAAGGAGATCCAGACGAAACGTTGTAACTTTTGTCATAGCTCTCCCTAGATTTTCAGCAGCAGAAGAAGAAACTCCTAAACCCTAAACGACATGAAGAAGATGGTCTGTAAGTGGACCTAAAATTATAAACCCAATAACAGAAACAATCCAACAGAAGCCCAATTGTTTATTTTGATTTCAAGCCTAATAAAAAGTGCCACGTGTATTATTTTGCCCTTAGGAGAAGGGAGAAAACCTTGCTTTATTATATAAGATNCAGCAGAAGAAGAAACTCCTAAACCCTAAACGACATGAAGAAGATGGTCTGTAAGTGGACCTAAAATTATAAACCCAATAACAGAAACAATCCAACAGAAGCCCAATTGTTTATTTTGATTTCAAGCCTAATAAAAAGTGCCACGTGTATTATTTTGCCCTTAGGAGAAGGGAGAAAACCTTGCTTTATTATATAAGATTTCATGCAAAACTTCTTCAGATAGATAAATGATAAATCTTTGGTCGAGACTCGATACTAATATTTAAAAGAAAAGATCATTTAAATGTCAATTACCGATTCGCGAGTTCAATAAAGAATGATAGTGTACCGGTTTCATAGTAGATAGAAAGCTGTTTACTAAATTTTATTTTTTGTTATGTGGTAAGTTATGATTGGTCATTTTACTCTAATAAACAAAAGTCGGGAGGATACGCTAAGGCTAATACAATACTGTATTCCGCAATAATCAATACCTCATGTTTCCTACTACTTGATTCAGATTCGTAATGCTCTGACGAAACCAGGATTATGAAACATGTTTGTCATGCGTAATATTATTTATCTCTTTAACAGAAGAATAAATCTGTACAATATCTTTCTTTTTTATGTAATCCTTGATTTTAGGTTCTAGTGATCTGTCGGGAAAAGATGATACTTGCACGTATTCTCGATTTCAAGTTTACTCCATTTTAAATCACGCATTATTCAACCGTACGACGTTACATATTAATTTCTTTCACAGTACTTTCGTATAAAACCTAATAAAGTTAAGGAAATAAATATTGAACGAAACAAAAATGCATATTCTAAGATGATGTTTATTGACGTTTGCGTTGATCCAGCAAAAACATCTCTGAACTGATCTACCAATGGGCGTGCAACTATTTACACATGGGAGTCTTAATGGTCTTACGATGAGTTTTACATCACGGTTTGCTCTGTTTTCACCAATCAAAATATGTATAGTTTTTATTTTTATTTTTTGGTAATATATTCATGTACAGACGTACAGAATTAAAAATATGAATACAGTATTTATATTTTCACAATAATTGACTATTACATTACGTTTTGCTTTGTTTCCACCAATCAAAATATATACAGATAGGAAATCTTTTAGCTTTGTTTTGTTGAAAAGATGAAGAGTTAAGTACCAAAGCAAATTTGTACTCTACAAATATTCACCAAGAAAAGGGTAAAAATATATTTCTCTAAAATCCAATTTTCTGCTCATTTTTTTTTTAATTCCACTTGTTCCTCTGAATGTTTTTTAGTCAGAACTCATGTTTTTTATTCACGTTTTGTTCATTTTCCTAAGTGACTCTTACAACACCGTGTTGACTTCAGACAATAACCACATGTAAGATGTAACATTCAGCGAATAAATCATCTACATGTCTAAGGCCATCATCAACAATGTTTCTGAAACGAGAATCTTTGGAGAGAGTTTGAGAGACCCAAAAGCCAATTGTCTTTCTCTATTGTTTCATTTCACATTTATTTTAGATTTGAAATATCAAATATTAAATAGAGAATCTACTCTTCTAAGAGACCACATCGATAAAAATGCTCTAAGGATGCCAATTAAAATTCACATCTGTTAAAATAACATTGTGTATACTACTATAATGGGTCCAAGGAGTTGCCCTGTTTGGGCACACAAAATCATCGGTAATACAATTCCAGACTCATTTTATTTAGTCTCTCCTAATTTACTTATCGTATTCGAACGTCTATATATGTAATCACACGACCGCGACGGCAGCTGGACGACTCATTCCGGCGGATAAGCTACCAAAATTACCATAATTCAACATAGAAACCCTAGGCTTTGGCATCACACTCTTATCCTCCGTGTCAACAGGCATCACCGATTTTCTTTCGCAGGTGCCGTTCCATTTGGCTTGCATGTACTTGTGTTTTCTCCAAGGACCCAAGTGCATTTTCTTGTCTTTCATACACTTTTTAGCCGCCGTGCACAATATTTTTATCAGCGATTTTAGCCTCTCAGTTTTTCCGACGTAAACTTCTGGTAATATTGCAATGAGTCGCTTGTACTCATCACTACCTCTCGCCATCTCAAACTCCGCCCTAAAAGATAGCTCAATCACCACACGGATCTCGCCTTTCTTTGATCCCGATTTGTCCACGATTTCCAAATATTCATGCTCACCTAATATTTTCAGTAAACAAAAATCATGGTTAGTCAAATTGTTATAATTAATGACAGCTTGCTTGATGCATAAAAATACTAATCAAAACGTTCAACATATAGTGTATACAATATACTAGAAGATTTTCAAAACGTTGAACGTTTCAAAACAAGTCCATATTCAAACGAAAGGCTTTTGAAAGTTTCTTAAATTTAAACATCATAAATCTGAATCAAATTAATCTTTTTCTTTGTTAGGAAAGTACTTTTTTATAAAAAGAAACTACTAAAATATTGAAAACTGAGTAAGATGGGGATAATTAATTATACCTGCAGGGATCTCGTGATTGCTTCTCCACTTGGATTTGCAAATGACGCAATCATAGCCGGCGTCTCGGAGACGGCTAGCCACTTCACCGCGCAAACAGCTACGACAACCGCCGGTGACCGGTCTCCGGCAAACACATTGCAAACCATTTGATCTAACTTCTTTCAACGCTTCTTTTGTTGCTTGTCGAATCTTTGTCTCAACTGAACTTGTCCTATACAGTGTCGCCTACACATTAACATATACCCAAAAACAAAATTAATTACACCCCACAAAAAAACACTTTTGATATTTTATTATAATCAAAGAAGAGACAATTATAAAGTTTATCAACTAATAATATATATATAAATAATTTACCTGGAGAAGTTGTTCTTGTTCATTCCAAAACGTTTTGTTCTCTTCCGTATTGCAAACGGTGGTATCGTTGTCAGCATCGGATTCTTCGCCGCCGGCGAAGCTACCGGAATCAGGGTAATCCTCCGGTGAATGGTTTCCTTCGTCGAGAAAACCAAATAAAACATCGTCGGAGCTAGCCATTCCGTCAAGAAACTTCATGATGTCATCGGAGTTTTGCCGATCCATTGCTTTCAAGAAGAGAGAGAGATGAAAATGTATTTTTCTTCTTTCTTTTGTTTTTTTTTTTATTTGGTTTGAAGAAAATAGGATTAAACTAGAAGGATATATATAGGTCAGAAAATGATGCCAATGTGGGACCCGGATAAATGATGGGACCCACACTTATAAAGAAGATAGGACCCACCTGAGGAGTGGGAGAAACAGCTACAAGGCGCCGCGAACAAGTGCATCGAATGATCTGTTGAGTTTGGAAGAAAGTGACGTGTTAGAATCTTATTAGGAACTGAGTCAGATCTGATGCCAAAAGACAGCTTGTTTCTGTGTCAGCATGGTCCAACCATGAGAACTCCGCATTTCAGATTCGGATATACTCCGATCCCTAATGTTACTAGAACGTTTCAATTATTATTAGTTTAGTACTTTTACAAAAAATATATTATCTTTTGCTAAATTAAACTGTTTTTTAATAGAGACGAACCTTCTTACTAAATTCATTCGTAACAACTGGATTTTCATTCTTAACCCTCGGTTTGTAGTAAGATTAAGTGAATTCTAGATAAAGCGTGTTAACATAGATTATAGATTATTTATCATTGACGTATATTCTTTCTTTAATTAATTAGCAACTAACTAACACGTTGTAGAAGCTACTAGGCAATAATAATCTATCCAATTTCTTTTATTTGAAACTTAAGAATGTACACGTTTCAAAAAAATACGTTACATTTTTTTAATAGTGGCTACGCGGTGTTTTTTTGCCAGAAGCTTTGTTACTTGACGTAAATGATATTGTATGATTGAATTGTAATATTGTATAATCCATTCCATTCTCCACAGTGCAAGAAACGTTCTCCTTGATCCTTTGTAAAGTAGATGTATATCTATATTTATTGCAATGCAATTTTTACGGTACAATTATTAATTATTGGAAGCACTTGCTAGAATGGTCCTGATCGGGACCCACGTGCCAAAAATCAGACAAAGACAAGGACATCTACGTGGAAGATAGCCATACACGTGTATTTTGTCCTGAACGCCTTATCCCGGCTACCTACATGGGGTGGGCGATACTTCCGTTCCTTATCTTGTTACCAAAATAAATGAATTAGAGGAAATTAGCTCAAAAAAAGAGAGGAAATTAGCTGAAAATTGTAAGTTATACTAGGAAATAAGCCAATTTTAAAAAAAATTAGGAATGTATATCTTTCTTATTTAAAATTGTTCTTTGACAAAATTAACTCTTAACGTTATTTTTAGCGTGATGTATTCACACTACATTGGGTTTCCACATTATGCAAATCTTGTAGTTTATATGATTACTAATAGTTTGTTATGTCCCTTTATAGTTCTAGATGTTATCTCTCGACCGCTCACATGAAAATGTTGAACAGCTCATAAGAGAGGTCAACTTTTTTTAAAAAAATGTAAAATTAATTGGCTGAAGTAGAATATCAGGAACATATAATTTTTCTAGTTTCAATCTGATTCTACTAAATTGTGCTTTGAAAAAAATAACTCTCAACTTGATGTCTAGCATGATGTATTCGCATTATGTAGTGTATATGCTTACTAAGTTACTATATATATTTACAGAAAGTAAACGATATTTTGATTTAAGTAAGGTGCATCTGCATTACCTGAACCTTTTTCGGATCTACTAGATTCATTTAATTGACTAAAAGATACTTTTGGATATCTTGAATATGCTTAACAGAATCGATTTTCAGATAACATAGTAAAATTATGTTAAGCATATTAGTTAATTTTACAAAACAATTGGCATATGCTTGGCAAGAAAGATTGGCAAATGTGATAATGGAGTTAAAGCACATTCTCTATACACATTTAGATGTCTATCAAACCATAGATCCAGTTTATTATATCGTTTTGTAGTTTTAACTCTATGTTTTATTTCGATCTCTCACTTGAAAATGTTGAACAGATCATATCATAATTCATAAGAGAGGTAAGAAAAAAAAGAGGAAAACTAATGGGTTTAGTAGAATATTCGCCTTTTTTCCTAGAAGAAATTGAGGAGGCTGGGAATATTCTGAATAAGGGTCATGTGGTGACAGCATGTGGACCAGCTCATCGAGATGAGCTAGTCACTAAACAGTTAGAATATTTGTTGTTGTTACTACGCTGACAAAAAGTAAAATGTGAAATGTTGGCAACATAACGCAATCATGCATTTTGTCGTTGCTTTGTAAGTAGACAGGTTGTTAAACTTTCCGAATACTTCCAATTTTCTTACTATTTGTAATTAGGTAAATCTAGTGTTCTGTGTACATATGAAAGAAAAAAACTTATTACCAGTTACTACATTCTACTCGTCTATACATATCTGCATTTGATATCATATCCTGGTATCATCAAACTTCTGTGACATTTTAATAAACTATAAAAATTGCCTTACTAAAAAGGTAGAATTACTAGGAGTGGAGTTACTGATTAACTTGAGTATGATTATTGACAAACTAAAGTATTTAAATTATAATCTGTGATTTGTTAGTATGCACTATGCAGAGATGCAGTCTGGAGCTGGATCCTGGTAACTACATATTTTCTCTGTCACACTTTATACTGTTATTCTATTCTGAAACAAGGTAATACAGTAATAACTATTGGTTAGCGCGCACACACACACACAACAAAGAGTCAACTCGTTTAGCAGTTGCCTTCTACAGATGTTGGAAGAATGTCGTCATTGATTCCCAAGACATAGGGCTCCCTACTTTCAAATGTTTTTCGCCCATTGGTGTTTTTTTTTCTATTTTGTTGAACTATTTTTGTTTTAATGGAACCATTCAGAAGATGTTCACTGATATCTTGTTTTTTTGGTAGACAGAATAGTATGTATATGAGTATAATTGTATTCGTATATGCTAATTTATTTTAAAAAATGTCAGAAAAATCTCCTAATCAAAATTGACTTCTATTAAAAATAAATAAATTATTATAATATTTGATTCGTATTGGATACCATACACTAATTAATATGACTAAACCGACGCAGAAGGCATTGCCTTTTTAGTGTATGATATGAGAGTCAAATACATGTGTGTTGGACTGAATTGATCAAATGCTGTTAAAGCTGTCACATGTGCTCCTGACTACCTCTATATAATTTTTTGTTATCGGGTGTGAACACAATCAGATGAACGAATATGAAATGAACTTTGTGTACCATGCAAGTTAAAGTATAAGTTCATATTAGACTCGCCGAGTAAACAGGCTGATACTTAATGCTCGTTTCTTCTAGATGTGATAAGTAAATACGAAGTCTACTAATAAATGTTAATCGATATTGTCTCTAGACTCAAAGATCCAGTTAATTAGGAAGTTTTTACATTCGCATTATATGATGCCAAAGGTCCCGCCCGGAAAAAAATATGGGCCAGAAGCAAAAAAAAAAAAATTGGCCTATGAAATAAAAATATGGAACTATCTACTCTATTAAAATAGAGTCATTTTTTTAATATATTGATACAAGTTGTCATTTAAATTTGGACTATTTCTAGAGTGTTACAAATATTTAACACAAGCCATATAATTAATTAAACCACATCTATTCTATTAAAATAGAGTCATTCTTTTTATCTACTGATACAAGTTGTCATTTAAATTTGGACCATTTCTAGAGTGTTACAAATAATACAAGTTATATGGTTGATTGAACCGCATTACTTAAATTAAACCAGCGGTTATTTATGGAATAGAGTTTAAGGCTTACTTTTGTTTTTATGACCCAAAAATCAATTACTATTTTTAGGCCCAAAAAAAAATTAATATTTTCAACAAAAAAAAATTATCTATTATTAATCACTTATTTAAAACATGTTAATATTTTTATCCCAAAAATATTTAATATTTTCAACAAAAGAAAATTATCTATTATTAATCACTTATTTAAATCATGTACTTTAAAACATGTTAATATTTGTATTTTAAATAAAAATCACTCTATCTTGATAAACTTTAATGGTAACTTTTAAATAATTTATTGTTTTATTTTTCTTAAATAATTTACAGATTTTTTTAAAAAAAATTAAAGCAAAACCAAAAAACCAAATCTAAAAATTAAAATCTAAAACCAAAAGCTGAAAACGCAGGTTATAATTTTTGCTTTTTTTATTTACAAAATAAACTATTTCAAAATTTTTAGAAAATTATTTTGTCATCTTTTCAGTTTTAAATTACATGTTCGATTAATTGAGATTTATTTGTTGGTAATATCAGTTCAAACTAACTCAGCGGGTCTAAAAATTAAAAACTCAAACCAAAAGCTGAAAATCAAAAATAGAAACTTAAAAACTAAAAACCAAAAACCAAAATTTAAAACAAAATGTAAAAATAAAAACTAAAACTAAAAACTAATGAAAAACAACTATCACCACAAATTTTGGTAAACTAATTTTACACCAAAACATTCTCTAAATTAAGACAAAACTCAATTATATAAATTTTTAATCATAAAAAATTTATGCGCTTTTCAAGCGTGGATCAAAATCTAGTTACTTAAATTAAACTGATGGTTATTTATGGGATATAGTCTTGGGCTTACTTTTGTTTTCAGAAAAAATTATATAGTTTAGTTTTTGGGATTAGTATTAAGGAAAAACTCCAAAACACTGGATAAACTTTCCACCTTATAAAAATCAATTATTATTTTTAGGCCCAAAAGGTATTTAATATTTTTAACAAAAAAAAAATGTCTATTATTAATCATTTATTTAAATCATGTACTTTAAAACATGTTAATGTATTTTTTATTTTAAATAAAAATCACTTTATTTTGATAAATTTCAATGGTAACTTTTAAATAATTATTGTTTTATTTTTCTTAAATAATTTACTGATTAAAAAAATGTAAAGTAAAACCAAAAACCAAATCTAAAAACCAAAAGATGAAAATACAAGTTATATTTTTTTTGCTTTTGTTTATTTACAAAATAAACTATTGCAAAAAAATTTTTGTCATCTTTTCAGTTTTAAATTAGATGTTCGATTATTTAGTATTTGTTTGTTGCTAAAATTAGTTCAAACTAACTCAACGGGTCTAAAAATTAAAAGCAC